AAATATAAGGGATTTAAGGTGGTTTTTAAACCTCAGGCCTTAAAATGGTTTTAAATGGACTGGACCTTTAATATTTTTAATTACTCCTATTGCATAATTGTGCCTATGTAAATAACTAAGACAATTTGAAAGTATCTTTGAGCAGAGCTGAAATAAGTTTTCAAAGCTCAGTGGCGCTATTGTCACTTGAAAAGCTGGGAAGGGTAGAGACTTTACAGTATTTCAAATTAAAAACTGGTTCCCTGATAGACCTGACAGTTAAATTAGCTAGTCGAAAATTGAATTCTCAGTAATAGCACACATACATGTCTGGTATGAAGGTTCAGTAGGCGCATGGCACAGCTGTTCATTGAGGCAGCACAATAAGTGGGGTGACATTGTGCTCTTGTGAAAAGCACATTCCTTCTGCTGCTTTGTGACATGCTATTTCTCTTCTAAGGGTTAGCCCTGATTAATTATCTTGTGGCCCCATCCAGCGGACCTTGAGGCTTATGCTATGGCAACTGCTACTCAATTAAGTATAAGGAACGAAGACATCTCAAAAAACTCAAGAAAGATCATATTTCACCTTTTGAACTGATGTTCTCAAATATCAGATTGTGGAATAATAAACAGTGCCCAAAAGTATTAAATAAAATAGCATGCAAATCGTATACCTGAAAAATGTCCGTTACTTATTCCAAGTCAGCACATAAATACTTGAAGCACAACATTCCTCAAAAATATATATTTTTTTATATTAAATTACGGTTTAATCTTCTAAAATGTACTAATTTTAGTGAAGGAAAAAAAAAAACAAATTTTTAATAGATATATTTTATTTTTTTTTCCATTTTTTGATATATATATATATATATATATATATACACACACACATACATACATATATATATATATACACACACATATACACATATATATATATATATATATATATATATATATATATATATATATATATAAACATATACACACACACACTATATTGCCAAAAGTATTGGGATGCCTGCCTTTACACACACATGAACTTTGATGGCATCCCAGTCTTAGTCCATAGGTTCAATATTGAGTTGGCCCACCCTTTGCAGCCATAACAGCTTCAACTCTTCTGGGAACAAGGTTTAGGAGTGTGTCTATGGGAATGTTTGACCATTCTTCCAGAAGCACATTTGTGAGGTCAGGCACTGATGTCAGACGAGAACGCCTGGCTTGCAGTCTCCGGCACAATGCAGTCAGGCAAGTACTGTTCTCTTGGCAACCGCCAAACACAGACACGTCCATCGGATTGCCAGACAAAGAAGCATGATTTGTCACTCCAGAGAGCATGTCTCCGCTCAGATGCAGCTGGTCGACCATGGAAACCCATTCCATGAAGCTCTCTACGCATTGTTGTGCTAATCTGAAGGCCACACGAAGTTTGGAGGTCTTTAGCTATTGACTCTGCAGACAGTTGCTGACTTCTATGCACTGTGCGCTTCAGCATACGCTGACCCCGTTCTGTCATTTTGCGTGGCCTATCACTTCGTGGCCGAGTTGTTGTTCCCAGTTGCATCCACTTTATCATACCACTAACAGTTGACTTTGAAATATTTAATAGCAAGGAAATTTCACGGATGGACTTATTGCACAGGTGGCAACCTATCACGGTACCATGCTTGAATTCTCTGAGCTCCTGAGAACGACCCATTCTTTCACAAATGTTTGTAGAAGCAGACTGCATGCCTAGGTGCTTGATTTTATACACCTGTTGCCATGGAGGTGATTGGAACACCTGAACCCAATGATTTGGAGGGATGTCCCAATACTTTTGGAAATATAGTGTATATAAATACTTTTCAAAGTGCTGCACTACATTGAATCATAAATTTCACATTAAAAGATAAAAGCAGTTCAACCATATGTATACATTTAGGCAATAAACAATAATATGGTTTTCATGCTGTGTCATTCCATCTTGCTGGTTTCTGTCTGTCTGACTTACTTTAAATATCATCCACAGATAGCAGTAGTGATGGGATCCTCTACAGCTGGAGGAGCATACGTTCCAGCCATGGCCGATGAAAGCATAATTGTTAAAAAGCAGGGAACTATTTTCTTAGGAGGACCTCCATTAGTAAGTATACATCTTGGTAAGACAAAGCCTTTTGCAAGGGTGTGTGTGTGTGTGTGAGTGTGTGTGTGTGTGTGTGTGTGTGTGTGTGTGGTGTGTGTGTGTGTGTGTGTGTGTGTCTGTGTGTCTAATTACACATTAACAGATGTTTCCAATTTTGCCATGTTTAGTGTGCTCTGATGTGAAATATTAATGTCAGGTGACTTAATGTTTGTTGATCCACATCATCAGTGGCCAGAATCTCCGATGAAGTATGGCATGGGCTATCAGGAAAATAATACTTTGGATTTTCTAACCTCAGTTTAAATTGTATCTGCTTATCTAGAAAACCCTGCAATGGTAATAAAGTACTGCACAAGTGTAGTTTCAGTAAATAAAATATACAACTGGGGGAAAATTACTGTCATTCATAGCATAGCTGGTATCCCACATATCAGCAGGGATTTTATTAGCATGTTTGTAACATTGAAAATTTTTCCTGATGCTTCAATGATCATCCGTCTGCTACTGAAGTTTGTTACTTTTATTCCTGTGTTGGCATTCTACACCACCTGTGTAGCGGATTTGCACCAATGTTGAATATTGATAAGCCATGCCGGGCCTATTTTTAGGCGTTGTTTTCATATGCTTTATTGTATCTTTCTCTTTTTTTAAAAATGTTCAATAATTATTATTGAAAAAGTATGTGTTTCAGTAGCCTCTGAAAAAAAATGCTAAAGTTATACCCCACCAACCACATCACTGTAAAGAGAAAATTCTTCTCCTATTATATATAAAGTAATTCTGTGAATTTCTGTGCATTTTGTAGTGATCCAAAAGCTATTTAGCCACCATCACAAAGTAAGAATACTTACCAATAGGAACTCAAATTTAAATAGTGCAGTGCTCCTCAAAAGAGCTATAACCTACTGATATTATACAATGTAACTCTTATGGCAAAAACATTAAATCACATAACATAAAAGCTTTCATTAAAAGTGTGTATCATGGTACACAATATGAAGATTACTTGGAGAAATCTTATTCTGACTTGAATTAAAGATCATTCAATGTACCCAACTGGACTTCCATATAATCAAGGCATTCACAGCACTTCATTTATCTCAACTTTTTTTTTTTTTTTAGGTTTTATATAGAGTGGGAAAGGGTTAAAAGCTCTAGCAGCAGGGGGAGAGAGAGAGAGAGAGAGAGAGAGACCCTCACTTCCGGTCCTACTGACATTTTACCAGGCAGGAAATGAGGGGAACATTCCAACAGTAACACAAACCTTACATGAGGACTAGAAACCCCATTATACTTTTATTTCTGTATCCCAGTTACTGAATTTTCCCCCCATCTGCAGACAAAGTGAGGGTACATTTTGATAAGAGAGCATCATATAGCAGTAAAAACCAAAGAGTTCTCATTCCTTCCCACTCTATTAAAATATAAGAAAAGGTTTTTAGCTTGACAAACAAACAATTTAAGGGGGATTGGGGAGTTCTACCTGAAATGTGCTATGTAACTTCCTGATCCCCTGCTTATTATCTCCCTAGAGTCAAACCCCTCTGGTAGTTTTGAACCTAACTGTAGGCTGTGAAAACCTTTTTGATTTAATACATCAGGTGTTCTGTATGTGAATGACTATGAGAGCTTGCAATGTTTTCAATTTAGAAAGAGCACCCTTGCATCTTAAGGAGGTAAGCAAAAGGGGTTCCCAGATCACATAACTGATCTGGAATGACATGCAGCATTACAGAAAGTAAAAAAAATGTACACACAGCAGGTACACCACGTTCTGTATACATTTCAAGCTTTGATCTTCAGTTATGACCAAACTATCCAGAAATAAAAGAAAGAAGAGTTGCACTCCATCGTTAGCTCCTCTTGCTGTATTTATTAATCAACCAAGTATGCTGTATACACGCTATCTCCACCTAAAAAAACAAACTTCTTGTTGCATTTCACCACTCTCGGCTTGCTCACAATGGTCCTGGTTAGCAAGCCAGGAACAGTGAAACGAGTCAAGAAAGTTTTTTTTTTTTTGAGGAGGCAGCGTGTATACAGCTTACACGTTGATTGTTTGATAAATACACTAGGAGGAGCTGACATTGGGGTGCAGCGCTTATCCTTTTGATTTTTGGATAGTGAGCAGAGATGGGCTACAGAAGTCAGCACCCAGATTATCGGTGCAGAGGAGCGGGGGTTTTAAGCAGTTCTGTGGATTTGGGAATGTTTTGACCAGACTATTTTTATCCTTTCTTTTCAAATTCACTTGATGTAACACAACCCCTTGATCTGAGTAAACACAGATCTGTTTGGTTGCTAAGGATTACTGCACTTTGGTCTAATGTATTAAATAATCCTGTACATGGACAGCTTGTGTTCACCAGAACTCTGTGTACTTTACCTACACCTTTCACTTTTCTGTCACCGGCGAACACATGTATATGAGGGGTATTTTTAAAAAAAAAAATGCATACATGTTCAGCCATCAAAACTGCATCTAAAATGTGCAAATCAGGCAAAATCAAATGATCTCTGGCTATATTCACTGCAAAAAGAATGCGTTCATGGAGAAAATACTGCATTATGGTCACTAGATGGAGCTGATGAGAATACTTATTTTCTATGATAGTCAGTGCTACCTAGTGGCCATAATGTTGTACTTACATACAGTTTCAAAGTACAAACAGTTGTGCCAAATGTTTATAACTACACCCGATAATCTAATATAACTGGTTCCTGTTCATGTGATTTAAGAATTTACATAAAATTATCATAAACATAACAGCTATAAAAAAATAAAATATCCATTAAATTTACACACAATTAACCTGGCAGCCGGTTAAACCTACCAAGCTCTACCCACAGCCTTAGACAACAGAAGGGCCTTGTGTTTAGTACTTGCCTTTTTTGCAGATTCAGAGAAAAGGACACCATTATTTCCAATAATTCCAACAGGATAACCAAATATCCTGGCAAATCCTTTAAAATGGAAATTTTAACATTTTAGTGAAAGACACAGTCTTAAAAAAAATGTAGGCAGGCTATAGTAAAATATAATAATGCAGCAACTTTTACCTGTAACTAGTGTATCTCCATAAAGTGCCTTGAACTCGTCAAATTTGCTTCCATCAACAACCCTGGCAATGACCTATTAAAAGCAAAAAAAAAAAAAACCAAGTATGTGTATAAAAAATGTTTTTTGTGCTAGAACCAGAAAACTGTAAATTACCAGTGAGTCGCCTTCAATTGATTTAGGAGATTGAAAACAATGTAGTTCTAATTGCATAAGTAAAGGTTGATGGCTGCTGGCAGTAATCACAAAAAATCAGACAAGCTGGATGTCCATAGGTGAATCAAATCTCAGCCAGTTCCTACTAAACCAGCTGAGATTCAATCCATCTAAGGCTGGCTTTTGTCATACTGCAGAATTTAGTGATTAACCAGTTCTGGATCTTGGGTGTAAGAGATGTACACCAAACACTTTTACAAAGTTGCCGCATACCCCAGCAATTTTTTTTTTTTTCCGTTTATTTCTATAGTGCTTGACCTGATTTTGGGGCAGATAGTGAGGCAGCCATCTTGGGCTCACTCAGTGTCCACTGTCCAAAAGTTCATTGAGAAATACAATGTGACAGCTTATTGTTACATTGCATTTGCTCATTCATATGCATATAAAAGGAGCGACCTATGATCTGCACAGGACATCAATAAAGCAACCCTACAATTAAAAAAATGTTTTTAAATGAGTTAACCCTTAGTTTTCCCTAATCAGGACTAATCAATTTATTTATCCCCTTAGATATGATTTTGTGTCTGTTATTTTGCCATGAATATTCAGATTTTTTTGTCCACTTATTTTGCTGGTTAAATTTTTCAGTTTTATATTTTTTAATGGCTAAAATGTACCTTTAAAATGACTGTCACTAGAGTCAAAATAACAAATGCCTGTAGAAGGAAGAGGCAATATACTTACGTTTCTGGTGGCCTGTGCCTGAAATGCCATATATGCTGCTCCCCGGCCGCTTGTTCATCCTGTGTTGACACGTGAGCTAGCAGGTGGAACCACAGTATTTGCAGGGGTAGCAAAAAAATCTGAATACTTGTGGTGGCTGGTAAGCAGCATTGTGGTGGTGTTTTAAGACACAAGCCTCTAGAAAGGTAGTATATTGTCTCTTTTTCTGCTATTATTTCTACTTGCTGCTCTGACCCTGTAGCAATAGGGTCACTTTAATAAGGATGGCTCTAAATACATGGGGGGGAAAAAGCTGACATTCTACAAAACCAAATCATGGGTATGGAAGGACAGATGCCTGCTCAATCTAAAAGAGCATACCTTTGAGCATCAGCAGGAGCTAAGAAATACGTTCATGGACACTAATAGAAATTTTCACCTTTAAGCCTTCCAGGCAATTACACAAGAGACAATCTAGGAATCGAATACAGAATGACTTCTACAGAGGCCCACCATGGGGCAAACAATATAATCAGATAAGATGTCTATAAATCTTGTAGCACAAGCACTTGGAGAAAAATCTTCATGTTAGAGAGAGGAAAGCAGTGCTTCAGATCAATTCTGAATGATGCCATGCCATCAGTACAGTTCATCTTTACTTTCAATATGCTCATGCTAGCCTTTTTACTGATGGCAAAGCAGCCAACAGCAGGATTTTAATAGTCTGCATAAGGTGTATAGTATGCATAAGGTGTATAAATGGCTATTTAGTTATTTGATATACATGTTTGTTTGTTTTTTTTGTACAGATGGTACACAGTCATGTTAATTAAACAAGATGAAATTATCATAATAGAATACCCAGTCAAATCAAATTAGTGGTAATAAAAAGCTGATCATTATTATTATTATTATACAGTATTTATATAGCGCTAACAGTTTTCGCAGCTCTGTACAATATAATGGGAGACAGTACACGAGACAGTACAGTAACAATACAAAACAATACACGGGGGGGTTCAAGGGCCCTGCTCCTTGGAGCTTACCACATCATCAATCCAAAAAAAAAAATAACATCTCCCTCCTGGTCAGACCTTTACATGGTTTTGCTGTGTAGATATTGAGATAGCACCCACTTTCAGTGGCATGGCCCAAGTGTTATGTCTAATATAACCAATAACCACTTCTTTGACTGTCATGTAGACACAGGGATTGAATCCTATCATCCAAGTGGCCATGTGCATGGATAAATGGAATGCAAGCAGACATATGCAAGCAAAACCTATAGAACCAACCCTAACCCTGTATAACAATTGATTGTTTACTCCATTTGCATTTTCTTCCCTGGATACAAAGCATGTTAAAAAGAGTCTCAGCCAATGCCTTTAGTTGATTAACCACTTGCCATCCTTTGGCCAAAGATACATGGCCTAAGGAGCAAGTGGTTATACATTGATAATGGCTGCAGCCATATATATTTTTTTTTTAGTGCCAGCAATCAGCCTTCCGTCAAAAGTGATCTGTTCCTCCCTTTCCACTATGATGTTACTGGTCAGCAAAGCAGCTGATCAAACCTATCTCAGTTTAATTGGCTGACTTGGAGGGCAGAGGGGGAATAAAGGGTCTAATAGACCTCTGATCTCTCCATAAAGAGTACCTGTCATTGCCCAAGTTATCACAAGGGATGTTTGTTCATCCCTTGTTATAGCTATAAATTTTTATGAAAAAAAAATATGTAAAAGAATACATTTAAATACATTTTTTAAAATGTTAAAGGATCCCTACTGCCCCGTGCAAATGCAAATGTGCACGCATGTCCCGCATACATATGTAAATGGTGATTGCACCACACATGCGGCATTGCAGTGATCGCCTGAGAGAGCAATAATTCTAGCACCAGAGCTCATTTTCAACTCTAAACTGGTAACCTGTAAGGCTTTTAAAGCACCGCATACAGAGATTTTCTAGGTACCACAGTTAGTCGCCATTTCAAAGGCATGCAAAATTTTAAATGTAAGTATCTATTTACTTGGCACAACATCTTTTAAATCTTACAAAAAATGGGTATTATATTGTGTCACATCATGTGACACAAAATTGCAGCATCCACACCACCTTATTCTACCCTAATTCTACAGGACCTCTGCTTCCAGGAAATACAGTTGTGTCCAAAATTATTTCAACCCCCAATGCTGTAAAGGGGTTTAGGGACTATAGTGTACATTTGGAATTGTATTCAGAATCAAATCCTACAAGGACGTTGTAACTACCCAAATGCAACTAAAATGACATCAATTGTTTATGTAAATACAGTAGTAAATGGTTCTTATGTGGTTTCTTCATTGCACCCCTTAAAGACTACCACTCTGAAGAACAGAGGTTCATACAGGTAAAATGCATTTAAGTGTATTTTTCCTGAAACTGGTGTGGGCATTAGATAAACAGCTGTAAGAAGATTGCTAACATCATGTGACACAAAATTGCAGCATCCACCACCTTATTCTACCCTAATTCTACAGGACCTCTGGGCTTCCAGGAAATAGCTAATGTTTGGAGGTTATAGGTAATCAGCAGAAAGATGGTATTTTAAAATGTACGTGAAAAATTAATATTTTTTTTCCCTTCAATAAAGTTGTCCATCATGATTAGGCAAGGCCCTGAATTGTAGAAGCTGTGCCCTGGAAAAAATGCAAGCAGAGGACAAAGACATAGTCCCCAATCTTGCCTGTAGGCTCCCTGCAGCTGTTCTCACTCCTGCCTTGTTCTGCACTTTGTCCCTGAGTGGAGGTGGCCATCATGGTAGAATTATATGTGCTCATATTAAAGCTGCTTCTCTGATGACTTATGGGGGAAAATTCAAGAAACAGAAGGAGAAGTATAGGAGCCACAGAACAACAGAATGGCAGCTTCAACGTTTAAAAAGTGTATTATAACTAAAAGGATGCTGTACTAAGTACTAAGATTGAATGTCACTTGGGGTTGAATAAAACTGATAATGCTGTGAGCACTGACATTTGGGGGATGCAGTTCTTCCAGTACAGCTTTCTCTCCAGAAAGCAGCACAGTAATAACATATCCAAAACTCAAAAGTCTAGCAGTCACAGGCAGTGGTGTCCCTTCCACAGCAGACATGCAGCTATAAGGCTGTAGGCCAAGAACTGCTTAGGTACACCTAAACACCAAGAAGCATGCTACTATGTTTCAGAATGAATTCATGATAAATCATTTAGGTACTTCTTAGATGCAATTAATCACTCTAGTTTCTCTCATATATCTATAACATAGCAAATCTTCATTTTCTAAGTTCAGGTACATTTAAAGTAGTCTTGCAATCCTTTCTAGCCATAGCATGATTATAGGCCACTGGACTGGCTGAGGAATAGCATAGCCAAGCAGGACTAGGGAGGTGGAAGACTGGAGAGTATTGAAATCTGTCCTTTATTACCTGCCCCTAGACATGATAAAACACAAGGTACTACCAAAACTGCATGACTTATTCCCCACAGTGTACTATTACAGCTGCTTAAAGTGGCTGTAAACCTCAGAAATGAGATATGAACAAAGCATATCCCTCTATAGTGTGTACCTATCTCAATTAAGAGCACTAACCTTAATTTCTGTCTTCTGCTTTGTTCCTCTGCTATCTGCATGGTTCAAATGGAGAAACAGAAAAAGGGCACACTGACCTAGTGCATTATCGTTTAAAATAATTTATTAAAGAAACAAAAATAGGTATCATACTCACAATGGACATAACACAGGCATGTCAAACTGAACAAGATGTATGATCCAAACAACATCTGAGTCCATACGATGGAACCCTGGATGACCAACTGGCTAATGCGTTTCGAGGACACAACCTCTTCCTCAGAGCCAACCAGGTTGGCCAGTTGGTCATCCAGGGTTCCATCGTATGGACTCAGATGTTGTTTGGATCATACATCTTGTTCAGTTTGACATGCCTGTGTTATTATGTCCATTGTGAGTATGATACCTATTTTTGTTTCTTGCTCTGAGGAAGAGGTTGTGTCCTCAAAACGCGTTTCTTTAATAAATAATTTTAAATGATAATGCACTAGGTTGGTGCGCCCTTTTTCTGTTTCTCCATTTGTATCCAGTGTATTCGGACCACCCCGGTCTGTTGAGGGCAGCAAGCAGTGCATATTTCAGAAAATTCCAGAACATTCCTATTGGGTCTACTGAGTCCTTTCCTAGCGCAGGAGTAAAGTGTTTGTTGTGTTGGATCTGCATGGTTCACTTCTGACAAGTTTTCCTGACTCAGGAAACTGACTCCAGCACACAGCCTGTGATTGACAGCCTCAGCTCTGTTCCTGTGTGCTCTGTGACATGAAATATGAACAAAGCATATCCCTCTATAGTGTGTACTTGTCTCAATTAAGAGCACAAAGCTTAATTTCTGTCTTCTGCTTTGTTCCTCTGCTATCAGCATGAATCATTTCTGACAAGTTTTCCTGAGGCAGGTAACTGACTCAAGCACACAGCCTGTGATTGACAACCTCAGCTCTGTTCTTGTGTGCTCTGTGAAGGGGGTGTGTCTCTTCCCTCCAATCAGCTCTCAGAGATCAGTCAAACTTTATATCCGAATGGATATAGAGAAGAGAAGACTGCAGATAAACAGGTACAACTTATGTACGAGGATGTGTTTTCTCTCTGTGTATCACCTGAGGCCAGTCACTTCACTGAGTATTTGTAAGGGTTTACAACCATTTAAAAAAAAAAAACTTGAAGCTGTTGCTGAGTGGTGTTCTTATTTTGAATATTCTTAAAAGGTATACCTCTCGGATATCAAAATTCTTTTTTAGATTGTCGCCAACAATTCCATACAGCTCATCTGTTGGGAAAAGAGGGTCTTCAGGACTTTCTACAGTAACCTAAAAAAAAAAAGTATTACCATCAACATTTATGTATCAAATCATCACAAACTAAGATAAGCCTTTTGAAGACGTAAGCCTACTTTTCAACTGACTCAAAACTATATTTGCTCATAACCGGGCCAATTTGATAAGAAACTACAAGATATACCCATTCTAAAAGAGCTCACCAAGCACTGCTCTCCATCTTATATAACATGACACAGAGAACAACTGAACACTGTTTACTAGAGAGCTTATTTCATCATCCTGCTTTGGATAGGTTGTCTTCAATTCACACTATTTGCGGTGACAGACGTTATAATGCAGTGTAAAATGCCTGTCACCGCAGGGACACACAGAAAACAGTTGCTTCCGATGTGTCCCATTTACACTGCAACACAGCCTAGTGTTGCTGTAAAATGCAGACATGCTGCACGCTGCCACATCGCACTGAAACGTAAGGCAGCACAGCTCAATCGGTTCTCCAGAGGGTCATTTATCACATATGAGGAGGAACATCTAAGGAGGAATCCACGGGATTGATCTCCCTTTACAAACAAAGCAAATCATTTCTGACAAGAGAGTAAGAATAAGAATTACGGATACGGTGGCACGTGGTGAAATCTTAGCACTTTTTGAGCACTTGCAAGTGAGTGTAATTTAGTTTTATTTATTATATGTGAAAGAGATAATGCACTATGTGCGGTTTATTTGATATTTTTTGAGGGGTAAAGAGGAAGAGGATGACATCGCATTGAAGATATAGGAACTGAGCATTTAGCGATCCATGGTGAAAATCAAGGAAATAAGAACTTATCAGATTTATTGATAATTTAAAGACTTTTGATCAAATTTGGAAGCTGAGCAACAATTTATTTCTTGGCTTCCTGGGGAGGAAGTAATAGCGACTGGGGATTGTGTGCCATATGGATGAGTTCATAGTTTGACATATATTATTAATTTTTTTGTGTTTAATATTGTTATCTGGGGTCTACCTTGGTGTTGGAGTTCATACAGAGCAGCTCGTTTCACTGCTCAACATTGCAGTGAATGCAGTGTATGTTTTGTACACTTGACAAAGTTTTTTTAATTTAAAAAAAAAAAAAAAAAAGGGAGTCGTGTAATGTGCTGAATCACGCATCACACACTGCTTCCTACCGCAGCCATAATGTGGAGCTGTTGGAACGGTTAATTGTTCCTGCGTCTCTGCACTATAGTGTGAATTTGCCCTGAAGGTCATGGTACAGCTAGTCATAGTTGAAGGAGTTTTGAACTGTTGAAGGCAATCCAGCCAAGTGGCTTCTTCAGTTCAAATAAGTGGTCAAAAAATATCCCAGTATTAATACATATAAAGGGCAACAGTCTCCCTAATCCAGTTACCATGGTGTCATGAAATGCGTCAAGGGAGATGATGATTGTCCAAGAATATGAAGGGTGATGTGAAGACTTGTGAAAACGCCCAGTTTAATTTTATTATTCAATCACTATGATACCATGCAGTATGGGACAGGTGTTATTTGTCTGAGTTACATGTTATCAGTCATGCTTTACTGCACCTGTCACACAATTTGTAATTTTTACACAGCTTATGACCAGCGTGACTGTTAGTAGAATAAACAAATATTTAGTCATGATGCTTTACAAGTCATACAGAGACGTTCACAACACACAAGAATAAATTGTTACTTACATCTAGCGTCTTTTTATAGTTTAAGGCACGCACTGCTTTCCGAGCAAGATGAAGAGCATGGCGGTCATCTAAAGCGTAATGATCGGTAACACCAGATTTTCTGAAAGAAGAAAGAAGGTAAAATCAAAACACTGCGACCATTCTATAATAATATGTTTTGGGTAAAAAAACAAACAAACTTCGGTTAGACAATAAGGAGGTTTTTTTTTTGTTTGTTTTTTTTTCTTTTAGTTTTATTGCTTTTTTTGTGTCCCTGGTAGGGAAAGTGACCCTTTTATTAGTCTTAATGACCATTTGTCACCAAGACAGAAAGTGATGAGAAATCCAAACTTGTTATCAAGCCAGGAGATGAGGGGAAATCTTCCAACGAGAACACTTATTCCAGTGACAATTTTATAAGTTTCGCTGACTTTAGTGGAGTTTTTCTTTCCATTTTCTAATGTGTCTCCAAAACAAGTAAGGAAGGGAAAATCTCCCCAGCAGGATGCAGCAAAATAGAGGATAGAGGATTATTACTCCCCACTCTTTCCAAAACTAAAAAAAAAATATATATATGGCTATACATAAAACATAAGCAGAGTTGGGTCCACTTAGTTATACTTTTATGAAATAATTAAATCTTCTGTTTTTAGAGCTTCCGTTAGTTCATAGGCTCTTTGTGCCTGTTCACACCACAGAAACGTCCTCCAGATCCGTTCCGGACACGTTTCTGCGTACACGTTTTTAATGTTCTCTTTTATATGTTTCCAGATGCATTCCAGATGGCTTTTTTAATTCTGTTTTCCTGTGTTTTTTTCCATACTTTTTTTCTGGAACTGAAAAGCACTGCAACGCACTGCACTGGTATGAACTATACCACTGGAACCCATATAACCTAGTTTCTGTGCGTTTTTGATGCAGAAGAAAAAGCACAGCACTGCACGCAGTGTGAACGGGCCCTTAAACATTATTTTTAAAATTATTCTTGCCATAATTGTAATGTGGTCTTCATGTACACAACTTCAATCACTGAATGATTTAACTCTGACCAGTGACAGGAAAAAAAAAAACTGCCTGTGTTTTGTTTTTTTTTTTTGCGTTACACATTAATTCCAAGCAGCTAGCCATTTCCTCTGTGATTCCGTCACAGAGCACTGCATGATGGACAACAAATTTGCTCTGGGGAAATTTATAATTGAATTTACTGGTGACGACAGCTGACTTACGAGCTTTAGAGTAGAGACGCAGTGAGTCAACAGTCCCAACGTATAAGAAATGTACCTTTGAAAAAGAATTATTACAGCATCGTTAAAAAATATTGCACCTTCTGAAACCACACGCCAGATTCACTATCTGTGTGGTTGATAACTCAAAAATGGAAGTCAAATGTGCCTGTCTTAACATAACCTGAGGAAATCACCCAGGTCTGTCTACAGATATATCTGTACTTTTTCTATTCTTTAGTGTTTTATTTTGAATCCTACTAAACTATCTGCTGCCAATTGCAGCAATATAAAAAAAAAAAAAAAGAATTCAAGGAAACCTTTGCAGAGATAAATACTAAAGCTGTCATTTTAACAACTTGTGCAGTGCCCTATAATCCCTATATCCTAACTTTAATATTGGCTAACCAGAGCAATACATATCTATTCAATCAGTGAATAAATATAAGCACAAAAAAATTGCTGACATCTTTTTTAAAAATGCTAGTTGTCTTGTTGTCATGCTTGCCCTCAATACCTTCATTAGACTGACATAAGTATGCAGTATGTTACATCAGAACTCTTGAACCAAATACTTTTTTGTGGCCAGCGATAAAGGTATTGATGCCAGGGAATGACAGGTTACTAGCAATTTTAGGTATTACACTCCCTACTGTAATCACTAATGATAGGAAGTCAAATCAAAGTTCTGTGCACTCTGACCACAAGCTTCTGGGAATAGCCGCAATCCCCTCAATTTAACATCAGTCCCCGTGCTCCCAAAAACCACCCTCCCTTTTCATGTGCACTCTGGAATGCCCGCTCTGTCTGTAATAAGCTCACCTCTGTCCATGACCTTTTTGTCTCCCACTCCCTTAACCTACTAGCAATTACAGAAACCTGGCTTCAAGCAGCAGATTCTTCTTTTCCCACAGCACTTTCCTATGGAGGCCTTCTCTGGACCCACTCACCTAGAACCAGTGGTCGGAAAGGAGGTGGAGTTGGTTTGCTTCTATCCCCACTGAGCAACTTTCAAGTGCTCCCTAACCCTCCCTCTCTATCCTTCTCTTCTTTCGAGACTCACTACATCCGGCTGTTTTCTCCCATTTCTCTGAGGATTGCAGTGATCTATCGGCCTCCTGGACTGGTGTCCCGCTTTCTTGATGATTTCTCCGCCTGGCTACCCTACTTTCTCTCCTCTGAACTACCCACTATCATTCTCGGAGATTTTAACATCCCTAATAATGTCAACAACCCGGCTACATCCCAACTCTTCAACCTAACCTCATCTTTTGCATTAGCACAGTGTATACAGTTCTCCACTCACTCTGATGGGAATACATTAGACCTTGTTTTCTCCCGTCTTTGCACTCCCTACAACCTCACAAACACCCCCTTTCCTCTCTCTGATCAAAATCTCATCACCTTCACAGTCTCCTCATCTTCAAACACCTATCCCTCTAAGCAGCAAACAATTACCTGCAGAAACCTTCACAACTTGAACCCTGCTTCTTTCAACTCTGCAACTGACCAACTCTATGACAGAATCTCTCCCCTGTCCTGCTCTGACCTGGCCACTGCTGTCTACAACAGTTCACTTTCATCCACATTAAACTCACTTGCTCCTCTAAACTACAGGAAGCATCAGGCCCGGACCGTTTCAACCTTGGCAGACCTACGACACCAGAAATCATAAACGACATAGTCGTGCGCTGGAGCGATTGTGTCGTAAAACAAAATCTCAACAAGCATTCACCCTATATAAATCTGCTTTCTTAACATACAATTCCTCCCTTCCTGCTGCCAAACAAGCCTACTTTGTCACTCTTATTAATACTTTGTCATCCAGTCCTCGTCGTCTCTTCTCTACTTTTAACTCTCTACTTTCTCCACCTCCACCCAGTATCTCACTCACTGCTCACGAGATTGCAAATCATTTCAAAAACAAGATTGATGCAATTCGTAGGGGCATCTCCACTGCACAGACATCCATCCCACTTAGCATACCTTATACTAAACCTCCCTCAACACTTTCCTCTTTTGACCTTGCTACTACCGAAGAGGTCACTAAGGTTTTCTCAGAAGCCCGTCTCACTACCTGCCCCCTGGATCCTGTTCCCTCACAACTACTACGGTCACCATCTTCTTCCATCCTATGCTCCCTCACTCACATCTTCAATCTTTCCCTCTCTACTGGTGCCTTCCCCTCCACCCTAAAGCATGCGCACATCACTCCCATACTTAAAAAGCCCTCCCTGGACCCCACCAACCTGAATAACTTAAGACCCATCTCCCTGCTGCCATTTCTCTGCAGCTTTTGATACGGTTGTCCCCTCCTCCTCAAAAAACTCCACTCTCTTGGTCTCAGAGACTCTGCTCTCTCCTGGTTCTCCTCCTACCTATCGCAGCGCTCCTTCAGCATTACCTATAATGTTGCCTCCTCCTCTTCACTCCCTCTTTCTGTAGGGGTCCCTCAAGGTTCTGTACTTGGACCCCTTCTCTTCTCCATCTACATCTCCTCCCTTGGTCACTTGATAAACTCCCATGGCTTTAAGTACCATCTCTATGCTGATGACACACAAATCTTTCTTTCTACCCCTCACCTTACCAACCTACTAAATGACATATCGGCATGGATGTCACTCCACTTCCTCAAACTCCATCTTTCCAAAACTGAGCTCTTAGTATTACCCCCAGCCCGTCCCCCTCCCCTGACTTCTCCATCAAGATCAATAACACAATCATCAGTCCCTCCCCTCATGCCAGGGTACTAGGTGTAATCCTAGACTCCCATCTGTCCTTTCAGCCCCAAATCCAATCACTGTCCAAATCTTGTAGACTTCACCTCCGCAACATCTCTAAGATACGCCCGTTCCTAACCTCGGAAACCACTAAGCAACTTATTCACTCCCTTGTTATATCTCGCCTTGACTATTGTAACTCCCTCCTCATTGGCATACCTCATCGCAGGCTATCCCCTATTCAGTCTATCATGAATGCTGCTGCCAGACTCTACCTTACTAACCGTTCTGTATCTGCCACCCCTCTCTGCCAATCCCTCCACTGGCTTCCCATTGCCCAACGGATAAAATTCAAAACATTAACAATAACGTATAAAGCCATTTATGACTCTGCCCCAAATTACATCACCGATCTTGTCTCTAAAATATCACCCAAACTGTACACTCCGCTCCTCGCAAGACCTCCTACTCTCTAGCTCCCTTGTCTCCTCTTCCCATGCTCGTCTCCGGGACTTATCCAGAGCTTCCCCCATCCTCTGGAACTCTCTACCCCAATTTATCAGACTATCGCCTACTCTGCTCACTTTTAGGCGATCTCTGAAAACCTATCTCTTCAGGGAAGCCTATCCTGCCCTCAGCTAATAATGGAATCTTCTACTCTTCCAACCAGTCCATCCCCCACAGTTACTACCTTTTGTACCATTAGCCCCTCCCTCCTAGATTGTAAGCTCCAAGGAGCAGAGCCCTCCGATCCCTCTTGTATCGAACTGTATTGTCTCCCGTTATATTGTAAAGCGCTGAGCAAACTGTTCGCGCTATATAAATCCTGTATAATAATATAATAATAATAATAATAATAATAATATGATCATGGAAGCCCATCATGAACTTTAAAAAATCCTATATACTACAGCTAGAGTGCATTATCTTATCTAGTTTGAGATATGACATATACACCGTATGCATGAGCATATGTCAGAATATACAAGCAGCTTTTATATAATCAATGGGAACCCAAAATGCTTCTTTAGCCCTGCCTATATTTTAACAATTTATTTTGCTAACCCTAAAATTGTGGAATAAAGAGGTTGTAAACCTCAGACATGAAATATGAACAAAGCATATCCCTCTATAGTGTGTACTTGTCTCAATCCAGAGCACTAAGTGTAATTTCTGTCTGATGCCTTGTTCTTCATTATCAGCATGAGTCACTACCGATGCGTTTTTTTGACACCAAGAGAAAAATGGTGATGGGGAGGGCACAGCCTGTGACTGACAGCCTCAGCTCTGTTCCTGTATGCTGTGTGAAGGGGGGGGGGGTGTCTCTTCCCTCCAGTCAGCTCTCAGAGCTCTCCTTACTGATGTAACTTCCATCTCTCTGCCCTCTGCTTTTCAGAGCTGCGAGATCCTGTGTAAATTATGTACTTTGAATGGATGTAGGGGAAAGTTGGCTGTAGAAAAACAAGTACAAAATACAGTATGTAGGAGGATTTGTTTCATCTCTGTGTATCACCTGAGGCTAGTCACTTCACTGGGTAAACAACTAAACTACTTTAAGCCCAGCTTGCTTATACATTCAAATCCTGCCCACTGCTTAATACTCAGATGTCATTTCAGTAGAAAGGAAATAATTAACCATGTATGACTTACAAGAAGATGATAAAACTCATCCTTTAAGACAACTGCAAATAATCCCAATATGGCCACATTATGGCAAAGAACAAAACAAACATCAAAGCACAGCGCAAATACTGTATTTATATAGTGGACATCATTGTCAGAGCAGAAATGGCACACAAGATTTCATAAATGCCACATAGAAAATGACAGAAAAATGCTCATTAATGTCATAGATGAAATGGCACACTAAATGTCACAGATGAAAATACTAGATTAGATTTTCATTATACCAAGATGCCTTCACGCCAACCCCATCACAAATTTTTTTTTTCTTCAATTGATGACAAACAAAATGTCATTAGTTTTTATCTTCGTGAATCATTATTTGCATTTTGTAAGAAATTTACACTAGCAAGAAAAATGACCAAGCTAGGATTTATGCATTTATTCACAGTCTTACCTACAGTGCAGATCAGCCCCTCCTAAATCTTCAGCAGACACTTGCTCTCCAGTAGCAGCCTTTACCTAAATGAACAAACATCACCAAGTGAAGGCAAAAGTACTGTGCGATTTAACATCACATTGCCTTGTTCCAATCTCAAACAGAAATCGAGGGTGGAGAAATATATTTTCTTCTAATAAATGTGAAATAGTTTAAAAGGTAAATTATCATAGGTTTACATTGAATTTTTAAGTCTTTAAACAGCTGATGAAAATATATATATAGGTCTTTGTTACTTTTAAACATATAAAACAGATTGCAGCTATGACAAATTCTCAAAGTACTAAAAGTTTTCCAAAACAAAAAGGAAGGTGGAGAGAGGGAGAGGAGTCTTTGTTCTGACCCATCCACTTGTGTTGGTAAATTTCAGATTCAACTATTAAGGTCTGTAAACAACTGGATTTTTACAACAGTTAAGGGGAAATTAAAGTGGCTGTAAAGTTAAACATTTTATTTAAAGAGAAAAAATAAACAGGTTTATACTTACCTGCCCTGCACAATGGTATGGCTCTGAGCCTCCTCTTCTCGGGTACCCCACAGGCATTCCTCCACTTCTTGGTGGGCCACCATAGGAAGCCGTTTCCTATCATGGCACACCTGCGTGCTCGATCTTGACATGCATTGTGTCCATTGTCCCCATTCCGTCACAGAATTTGATTGACAACAGCGGGAACCAATAGCGCCTGCTACTCTTAGCCAAGCCTATGAGAGCAGTGTGATGCACGTTTCAGTGCACAGCACTGCTTACTTTATTTTTTTCTTGACTTTATTTGAAGAGTCACGTAGTAATACTCCATTCAGGTCATTGCACAGCAGCATGGTGCATTGTGTTGCTGTGCATGGACATGTAGTGCCATCCAGAGCAGTGTGGAAAAACGCAGGCATATAGCATTTTTCCACATTGCACCGCATTGTGATATGAATGGGTCACAGACCTAGCAGTGACCTGGTTATCCAGTGCACAAGTCAGTGAACAAAGTATGAACGAGCCCTGAAGCTCCACTTGCTGGCAGGAAAAAAAATGCAGTAAATTCATATGTAATATCGAATGCCTACATTTTTAGTCCTAGCCATAATTGAACAAGGCACACAAATTCATTATTCATTTTTACAAGTTGAACTCAAGTGTAGCCTACCCTCTTGAGGGCCAGTGTGTTTCTAGAACCCCCTAAACTTCGCGCAGCCATGCAGTTTCCACACTTGCATCCACAGTCAGTGAACATGCCATGAGCTTGTTTTTTTTGTTATTTTATTAGGGGATGTAACCTGGATGGGGTAATAGGGATTATGGGATGCCCAACATGACTGGATCAATTAACAGGGACAACTTTTTTCCTATTTACAGAAACAGATCCTGGACTGTTCTTTTTCCTTGAAAGCAGTCAGTCTTTGGGGATCAGTAGCAACAGCCCTTTATGGTCTAGAGACTCGTAGCCCCTCTGAAAGTTAGCTTAGCTTGTTGCAAATTACATGCAGAGATGTCTCCTCTTCCCCGTAGAACTGCTCCCAGCTTCACAGCTTGCAGACACTACCAGCCCTCCTGGTTGCTCTGAAGATCTCCCAGGGCAAGGATAAAGGATTATTCACATCACTGTGCTTTCAAAGCTTACTACATGTGGCAGTCTTTCCCCTTGTAGATCCCTGGGTGTGCTGATGTACTCACTCTGTCTGCTTTGCTCCCACCACTCCCAGGCCTTGATCCTGTTCATGCTGTGATGTTGAATGGACCATACTGAGCCATCCAAAGCCTGAAGGCCAACCCCCCTAGACCTAAGGGACTCCTCCCATGTCACCGACAACCTCCTCAGCACTCCATCTTCCACCTGACTCCTCCAAATTTTTGGGTTGGTCCCACCAGTATACCAGGGCCTCCAAACCTGGTATTGGTTAAACTCCCATAAACATGCAGATTGGGTCTCCACCCCTTCTGTCCACTGGCTTATGGAAGGATTCATGGTCCTCCAGAACCAGGTGCAGGCGATAGAGTCCCTACCTGGTAAGCCATCCAGCCTGTCCTGCAGTAGCCCGACCTGACTTACAGACTCACATAGTTACCATGAGTCCTATACAATAGATTTACCTACACTACTCTAGTAGCACTTAAATATTTGAAAAGAATCTTGCGAGCCCAATATAAAAATTCCTGTTGTTGGATCGCACACCTTTAACACATAACTACCAATGTGAAAACCGTGAAAATAAAATAAATAAGGTATTGCGCTCACAACACTTCCATCTGTGCATATACACAAAGAAATGTGTATTATTGAACACTAATGACCATATTTGTAAATCTTATGGAATCATTTAGATGAACAATATACAATGAACAATATACATGAAACCGTGAAGAAATAATCTAATAAATGAAAATAAAAAATATATGAATCTGTGTAGTAATAATATCCCACAGTAACAGTGACTTTGTGCTGAAGAATCTTCAATATTATCAAATAAAACAATATATATAATTCTGTATAATAATAATGTCCCACACAAACAGTGAATTTGTGCTGATGAATCTTCAATATATATAAAAAAAGGTGACTGCTTGTGCCTCCTCCCTTAAGTGAAGATATGCGCTCACCTCATGAATAGCCTGCAATTAGGCTATTAACGCTTGCGGTTCACCTCCTTTGGAACCTACTAATTTTAGAAACTCCTGTGTGAAAGATATCCATAGACTGCGACATGTGATGTAAAAAAAGAGATCTCCTCTCATGGGGTATCACTCCAGTATCTTCCTGACTCCTTGCGATTCTCCATAAGTAAGAAAAAATCTTGACATGGTGCTTTATCGTTTAAAAGTTTTAATTGTGCTGACAGGTAGCACTCACATAAATTCGTATAGTGGCAGTACAAATATATTGCAAACCGCCGCTGGCTGCTGGAGCTGTGTTCTCGTGGTCCGATTGACGGACTGACTTCCTCCGAGTGACGTGCACTGTCCCACCCCTACGCGTTACGCCACTGGTCACGTGGCTTCATCAGGGGGATTTGATTGGCCTGTCACTCGTAAATTGCCGGCTTATAAAGCCCGGCTCCACCATTTTGTTGACTATCACATGGGGGCAGCCATTTTCCTATAGATGTATGCCTATTGATTTGTGAATCTAACAGCGCTATAGTCATCCCGGAGGAGTGCATGACAACACTACTCCGCAGTCAGCTCGGGTATTATAAATGCATCTCTTAATGGAATATCCCTTAACATACATTAATATCTTAATGGAATAAACAAGTGTCAACAAATTAATAAAGCGAATATATGTCCAGTTACAGAAAATATATATAAATCCATATTACAAAAAAATATATTAATTTATAAAATATTAATAAAAAATATATATAATAAAATAAAATAAAAAAAATTTTTTTTAATATTTAATCAAAAATATAAAGTAAAAATTAAACTATTTTTAAATGAAAAATTACAAAATATGTTTAAAAATGCACCGGTCCACATGACAGCACACGTGTATGTGAAGAGAGCATGAACAGCAATAGAGGGGGAGAGAGGCATCAACTCTGAGGGAACAGAATGAGCCCCATCACATCTAACAGCACCGCCATGCGTGTTCACACCCACATATGTTACACAAATGGACCTGGAGCACAGACACTAATCTATGTATCACTGATAAAACATGATAAATCAAAATCTTTGTTTAATCCTCCTGGTACTAAGCTACCTCTCTTCACATACACGTGTGCTGTCATGTGGACCGGTGCATTTTTAAACATATTTTGTAATTTTTCATTTAAAAATAGTTTAATTTTTTACTTTATATTTTTGATTAAATATTAAAAAAATTTTTTTTTATTTTATTTTTTATTATATATATTTTTTATTAATATTTTATAAATTAATATATTTTTTGTAATATGGATTTATATATATTTTCTGTAACTGGACATATATTCGCTTTATTAATTTGTTGACACTTGTTTATTCCATTAAGATATTAATGTATGTTAAGGGATATTCCATTAAGAGATGCATTTATAATACCCGAGCTGACTGCGGAGTAGTGTTGTCATGCACTCCTCCGGGATGACTATAGCGCTGTTAGATTCACAAATCAATAGGCATACATCTATAGGAAAATGGCTGCCCCCATGTGATAGTCAACAAAATGGTGGAGCCGGGCTTTATAAGCCGGCAATTTACGAGTGACAGGCCAATCAAATCCCCCTGATGATGAAGCCACGTGACCAGTGGCGTAACGCGTAGGGGTGGGACAGTGCACGTCACTCGGAGGAAGTCAGTCCGTCAATCGGACCACGAGAACACAGCTCCAGCAGCCAGCGGCGGTTTGCAATATATTTGTACTGCCACTATACGAATTTATGTGAGTGCTACCTGTCAGCACAATTAAAACTTTTTTAAACGATAAAGCACCATGTCAAGATTTTTTCTTACTTATGGAGAATCGCAAGGAGTCAGTCAGGAAGATACTGGAGTGATACCCCATGAGAGGAGATCTTTTTTTACATCACATGTCGCAGTCTATGGATATCTTTCACACAGGAGTTTCTAAAATTAGTAGGTTCCAAAGGAGGTGAACCGCAAGCGTTAATAGCCTAATTGCAGGCTATTCATGAGGTGAGCGCATATCTTCACTTAAGGGAGGAGGCACAAGCAGTCACTTTTTTTTTATATATATTGAAGATTCATCAGCACAAATTCACTGTTTGTGTGGGACATTATTATTATACAGAATTATATATATTGTTTTATTTGATAATATTGAAGATTCTTCAGCACAAAGTCACTGTTACTGTGGGATATTATTACTACACAGATTCATATATTTTTTTTTATTTTCATTTATTAGATTATTTCTTCACGGTTTCATGTATATTGTTCATTGTATATTGTTCATTTAAATGATTCCATAAGATTTACAAATATGGTCATTAGTGTTCAATAATACACATTTCTTTGTGTATATGCACAGATGGAAGTGTTGTGAGCGCAATACCTTATTTATTTTATTTTCACGGTTTTCACATTGGTAGT